ATCATAATCATGATCATGATTCTTTATCAGATCTCATTATACTCAATCAATTTTGTTTTATTGCAGGAACTAGATAATATCAAAAGAAATCTACATTATTCTAAGCACATTATGCAAGCTGAATATGAAAATAAACTGCAAGAAAGAGCTTTGGATTTGTAAGTGTATAAATAAATAGGAGAATGATGAATTATTAAATGCATTTTGTTGATACTGTATGATAGCAATATTTATATAAGTATCTCGTTTCTTAAGGGGGAAATACATGCTGAGATTTGTCAACCCAATTCTTTGTCAGAAATTATGTATTGAGAAGCAAATTGTACAAGTAGTTTAGACCCTGATTCCAGCTTGATTTTAAAAAATTGAATTGGCCCAATTCAAAAAATCTGTAATATCATTTGGGCTTGAATTGAACAGTCAAATACATTGCATGATTTGCATCCCGATACAATCTGGCAAAAGAATTGGGCCAGTCAAATGGCTGCATATAGACGGACCTATTAACACTCAATAACTGTGCATGCATGTAATTTTTTTCCTGTCCCCACTGCTTTACCCTCCATCCCAATCTTTCTTTATTGTTAAGCCCTATTTTGGTTCGTGAGTGGTTGGGTAAGACCCCATTTAAATGAACCTTGCTCATGCATCACATTTTCTCTCCAGGTATTGTCGAGTTAATGACAGGATTCTAGATCTTGAAAAAATTCATGAGGGTGTAAGTAAATTTTATAGTAAAACTGAATTGTACATTCCGAATATAAGAACTTTTAATTAGTGACATTAATAATTGTGTTAGCGACTTACTTAAACATTTAACTAAGAAATTCAGCGATAAAAAACTATAGTTTAAAAACATTTTAATAAAAGACGACGTTTGACGTTTACGTAACGCCATTATCAAGTCAATAAGAATAAGAAAATACAAACTATATATAACCATGAAACAAATGAAAGCTAATATTACAAAAAGAGGATATATATATGTACAAGAATAAAAGATAATAACAATGATATAATTACATGAATAAATAATTGTATGTTTCAACTGCTTGTGTTTAGAAACTGGATGTTATTAGGAGAAGTTACAAGCAACGATTGGGAGATGCAATCAGTGAAGTTGCCAATAAACACAAGGTACAATAAATAGAGAATATATTTACATGTTAAGAGCTTGATATAATTTTTATTCACAAATTTCCACATGATCATATCAGGAACGAGCAAGTCTGCAAGTCCCAGTCAAGCTCACATAAAAGATCACATAATTAGATTAATATCTAAACTTTATTTAAACTATGGATATACTCCAACTTCAGGCTGCTCTTACAAGTAAACAAATCACTTGAGGGAACACTGCAGCTGGGTATCGCACACTGAGAAGTGACCTAAATAGCAGCTAGGGATCAGCATGAAGTAGAGTCCTGCCTCTGAATTATTTATTTTGTAGCCATATTCCTGTTAGTGTGACATGAACCATGAAATGTCAGCTTCAGGCTGGCTAATAACAATTGCTGCTCAATTGCTGAACATGATGTCAGACTATACGTGTAGCTATATCAGATTGATTGATTTAAACGTGTGACTGGTCAGTTTGACTGGACATAAGAAGACAAGTCTAATAAGAGGACAGTCCAGACATATGTCTATCATTCGGCCGTTAGTTTATCATTAATATCACTGAGCTGTGGAGTTAATTTATCTGGATGTTGATTTTTATTTTCCTGTGGATGCCCATGGATTATAGAATATATTTTTTGTGGCTTAACTATTTCCCAGTCTTTTGTTTATTTTTCATAGGGTGTAGAAAATAGCATTTAATTTATTAATTTTACAAAAAATGGTTATTAGGATCACTACAACAAAAAAAGAGCTGAAGAACAGGACAAAATTCAAGCCAAACTTGAGAAAGCACAAGGCGATGACGATGACAAAAAGAAAGCACAACAGCAGCAAGAATCACTCCTAGAAATGATGCGAATGCAAATGAAGGAAGCTAAGGAACGTGCTGATGCACAGATAAAAGAGGCACTAGAAAGAAGGCCATCACCCAGTAGCGTTGACACAGATCCAGAGATTTATGAACTCAGAGATGAGGTGCTAAATCTGGAGACTAAACTAGATGAAGCTTTGACAGAAATTGATGAGAAAGATAATACCAATAGAAGATTAGGTAAATAAAGTAAGAGTTTCATTTGTAGACTAGTGTACAAAGGGAATCAAGGGGTGTGTAGGGCTAGCACACGTGTGCCTCTCAGACTCACTTCCAGAGTCTCAGGTTTAATACTCCAGTTCTTTTCAGTGACCACAAATAATAGTTCCTAACTGAGGCTGGAGTTACCATGCATAGCAAAACTACAGTTTGTCATGCGCGGTAACTCCAGCCTCGGCTAGGAACTATTATTCATGGTCACTGAATGGAACTGTAATTATTCCTGCACTTGCCATTACCTACTATAAGAAATAAGTAGGTAGCTTTGCTTCTATTAGTACAAGTGAATGTAAATAGTAAATTGAACTGTAACTAGGAATAGCAGTTATTATGGATGCATGCTTAATGAGGTGCAAATGAGATAACGAGTATTAAGTATGGGCCTGATAGCTAGCCTCACTTGTATGATTCTTAAAAGACACAAATTTCTTATTGCAGACTCAACTGTAATAACAGCTATTGACTGTTGCTAAACAACTTTTTATTTCTGATCGATTAAATATTATAGCTTTAGAAGTTGAAGACCTCACTGAACAACTAAAGGATGAAAGAAAAACAATTAATCAGGTAATCCATACATGTATATATAGTATAAAGCCATTGAATACTTGTAAGTGTATATTTGTGAGTGACAAGAGACAGTCAAGTTTATGGATTTCTGTTTCTTTTACAGCTTAAAAATGACTTGTCTAACATCCAGCTCAAGGCTGAGCAAGAAAGAAATCGACTGAGAGCAGAAGTGAGTATCAAGGATAAATGTATCAATATTACAATAACACCTTTGCTTGTCACGCACAAAGGTTTCTGTGTAGGGCTTCATGCTTAAATAAATTAATTATTCACCAATAGTCACCAATCACTGAGTATTATGCATAAAGCCTCACATTCATTGAATCCTTTGTTCATGACAAGCAAAGCATATATCAGAATTTGGCAATTTGTACACGAATCCCAGAAATAAAACAAGCAGGGAGAACAAGTCAAGCTAATTGTCAGGAGTTTCTTTTTTTTTCATTTCTTTTTTTTTTTTTTTTACAAAAATATCAAACTCTACTTTTAAAATTTTGCATACTTAGATGGAAAGACAAAAAATAGCTTTGCAAAATGAAATGGAATCTCGTATCCAAGAAACAAAGAAAAGTGTAAGTATGGCTTATATTAAATTAATTATGATCAATATTAATACTGACAGAGTGTGTTTATACAGTACATGTAAACTAAGGTCTTTAATTGTTTTGAAAATAACTGATGTAAATTAATTGGTGGTGCAATTGCTTTATGGGAACAAAAGGCATGCGTGCATACTTTGGTGTTCATAATTAATATAAATACTTACATACTCATATATAAAAATTATACATACAATCATCACTCCCCCTTAGGGCTGACTTCCATGAGATTCACTCCACACACACACTAATACTACTGTACATGTACACGTACAATTTATTTACAACATACAACAGTCGATCAACTTACATGTTGGTTTTTATGGAGGCTGGAAACCTGGAGAAAAACCCTTGTGGCAAGGGAGAAAACAACACATCAAACAAACTCCAAACTCACATACTGTATGATCCAGGGGTCTAAGGATAGGGCTCTAACCCGGACCACAGTGGTGAGAAGCGAGCAGTAAACCATGCAACCTATGTAACCAGTAAACTATATGCCACCAGTATCACCCATTTAATTCAGGATGCAGGTGTATATTAAGCATATAAATTTTATAAATCAATCTCTAAGCCCACATAAAATATTAATTTGTACAATGTACGCATTACGTATTACTGTAAGTACACCTCTTACTGTTATAAAAAACTTGATATATTAAAAATATATATATCATGATTTTTTCAGCGTCACAACAAGAAACCTTTGCCATCATCAGATATTGTTAGTAAACCAAGTAAATTTAAAATATCATTTAACTAAATGTAGTTGTCATGTAAAAATGAATTATTCTAAATGTTGAGCAAATTTGAGAGGGATTTTTCGGTTCTGATTGAAAGCAACGTTTTAATTATAACAAAATTTCTAAAAAACATAAATTAGCAATTCACTGTTACTAATATAAAAACAAATTAAACCATTTATTTGTTTAAAACCTCAGCTGCAGGATTAAATTTTGTTTCCTTTCCTTTAGACTAAATGAATGAACATTATAATAAACAAAAAATAATGTAATTTTAGCTGAAAACAAAGCTTTTAAATTTAACTTAATTTGTCAACCTCAACTTAATACTAACAGTACTATCTCAATGGCATGCATGCAATCATACAACATGTTACCACAGCAAATTAGGGTTTTGATGGATGGCAATCAAAGTGTTTCCATGATGACATTGTCAGAAACACAAAGCTTTTAAGCACACATGCATGCATCAGAAATGTCATGAAAAATGCTTTGATTGATGTCCACCATACAATCTCTTTCATTTCAACAACAATCTGCATGTGCTATTTGTTTAATGATTGCAAACAAAGTAATATCCCTTGAATCTCAGTATAGCACCTCATTATTAGCTCTATTGATTTTCACTTAAATCTATGCATTCCTCTTTTTATTATAAAATCACTTGTTAGGTTCTTGCTCAATCTCAAAAAGAAGTTGAGAAGTTGAGGAAGCTTCATGATCAAAAGTCTAAGGAACAAGAGCTGCTGGAGAAAAGACTACAAGAGAGCATGAAAACTGAGGTAATAAATATTAATACTGCATGTATGACTTACTTGTAGGTAGCAAATGAGAAAAATACTGATCTCAGATGACTTTAAGATCCACATTCATCCCTAAGTGAATAGTAGACACAGGTAATTGGATGTCATTATGATGGAGAATAGTTTAGTAACTGAAACTTGTCATGTTTTAACTTGTCTTGTTTTTTGAGTATTTATCACACAAAGGCAATAATTCTGTCCATTAATAATAATAATAATAATAATGATAATAATGGGAAGTTCATAATAATTAAGAGTAGATCAAGGTAGAGACAGAGATAGACTAGAGAAAGAGTAGATAATATGGTGTAAGTAGCTTCCAGCCCATCAAATGACTGATAGATTAGACAACAGATCTAAATTTTGACAGTTAGCTGGCAACAGACATATGACAGTAGACAGTCTACAGACACCACAGGGAGGGGCTATTGATCCCATACATGCACACTAGATGATTGATAGGTGATCGAGACAACAGATACTGACAGGCAGCTGACAGACATATGACAATAGACAGACAGACACCACTCATAGGGAGGGGCTGTTGATCCCATACAATGCAGACAGTGATAGACAGCTGACACTCATAGACAGACAGGAACCACAGATGTGCACATTATTATACTAACAGTTACTTTGCACCTGCACAAACCTGACCTACCAACTCTAGCGGCCCGCTGTCAGCTACAAGTCATATAAACCTGCTGTTAAATCACTATGGGTAAGCACCTTGCACAATGTTAAAACTCTTTGTTACTTCATATTTGATGTGTACATTAAATTGTTGTTTTTATTGAGTAAGAATTTTATGATAAACCAAACTGTTCTGTTTTAAAGCATTGTGATTGGACGAAGTGTGTTCTCTCGCTTTCTGTTTGGTTTAGATTTGGAAGCCACTTAGGTTTCACAGTGTTCTTGTAAATGTCTAACTCATGTAAAATCCACTTATTATATAATTTTATGTACTGCACGGTCCAGTAGTTACACAAGTTAGCCTGCATATCCATAGCTATACTAAAATCATAAGAATATTAGATTATCAAATTATATCCATAGCTATACTCTCTTGGCTTTATATATTTCATATTCTTGACTTTACATTATTGTATGTTCAACTAAGTTCATATTGATATAGTCAATGTGAATCTTGGTAAAGGACTATAACTGATTTCCATGGATTTCCTTGTCTGGAGTGCTTTGGTGATTTTGACAACGCTTTTGTCAAGAAGATAATAAATGGTTGAATTACTCCCATGACAAGGTCATACTTCAGTCATGAGAGGCAGAAGCATCTTCAACTCCTAATATAATAATAAATTCATGCATATATATTATCTGCCTTTTGGGGTATAGAGGCTGTGAACCATCTTGTGATGGCAGCCATGACTTTCAGACATGACAGCTTTTTGGTTTGGGTTTAATGTTTTCCCATTTCAGAGCACATAAACTTATAAACTTATATTTTACAACTTACTACCACTCTCCAAACGGGGCTCTTCCGTGAGGTTCTCTCCACACGCACTACCACTACATGCTATATTTACAACATACAACACTCAACTCACATGTTGCTTTTTACGGAGGGAGGAAACCAGAGATCCTGGAGAAAACCCTCTTGGCAAGGGAGAGAACAATACATCAAATAAACTCCACTCACATATGATCCAGTATGGGCCAGGGCTCGAACACATGTCATTTCCTATGGTATCATTTTTTTGTTTTACGGTTGTGCATAAAGAGATACATGAATATGGATGCAACTCAAACAAATAATCTTATTCTCAAGAGAATAGACGTGTGGTCTCAAATGGGAAAACATGCCCAAGCCAAAAAAAGTCTATTGAATCTGGTCTAAGTGTCTGTCACCTGCCTGGTCTACATAAAAAAGAATTCAGTTTCCAAAGAGAAAGGGAATGTTTTGAAAATTGACTTGTTTTATTTGACATGTAAACAGGAAAAAGAAGAAGTGAGTGAAAGTGAAAAAGATGGGTTGATTGCACGCCTTCAAAAGATTGAAAGGAAACAAAGGACAGAAATATCCAGGTACCCTTGTGTTTTCCTTACATGTACGTCATTAACTGACTGGGTTACCTTCATAGCCAGTATTTAAAAGAACATACTTTCATAGAAAAAACTATTATTTGGAACAAGATTGTTTTAGAAGCAATACCGGTAACCTGGCCAAAATAAGAAATGTTTTATTTTAACACAATAGAATGTCCCTAGAATTTATCAACAATTTTTCTTTAAGGGATCAAGGATGATTTCAAGGGGGTGGCTGTTACCTAGAAAGCCAATATATAGCTCCCTCTTTAGATTTTATGTAACTCTTTAATCATATTGTGAAAAGTCCAAAGGGTTTGGTCAGCCATTATACCCCCATCCCCTGCATTCGCTCTTATTTGCAGCCAAATAAAGACAAATGTCAAAATTTTTTGAAATATTTTAATAAAAACATGTGGTAGTTACATTGAATTATGATAAAGTTATATGTCTGAATCTATTCAATGTTTATACATTTTCTTTAGATTACAAAAGGAATTAGACCGTGCCAATAAGATGTGGGAGATGAAGGTTACTATACTTCAACAGACGTGAGTTGAGCAATTCAATACTAATAGAAAACTGTCTTTTCGTCCTTAAAATCCAACCTAACTTTTGTTTTACCATCTTAGTTCTTGTGTCATTCCCTTGATTATTATTATCTTTGTTTATCATTAATGCTTGAGAGGGTGCCTAGGGCATTAGCATGGGCATGGGTAGGAAAAGGGAGTTGAGGCATAGGTGGATTGGGTGGGGTGTTGAGGCATGGGTAGACTGGGTTGGGTGTTGAGGCATGGGTAGACTGGGTGGGGTGTTGAGGCATGGGTAGACTGGGTAGGGTGTTGAGGCATGGGTAGACTGGGTGGGGTGTTGAGGCATGGGTAGACTGGGTAGGGTGTTGAGGCATGGGTAGACTGGGTAGGGTGTTGAGGCATGGGTAGACTGGGTTGGGTGTTGAGGCATGGGTAGACTGGGTGGGCTGTTGAGGCATGGGTAGACTGGGTAGGGTGTTGAGGCATGGGTAGACTGGGTGGGGTGTTGAGGCATGGGTAGACTTGGTAGGGAGTTGACACATAAGTGGATTGGGTGGGGTGTTGAGGCATGCGTAGACTGGGTAGGGTGTTGAGGCATGCTTAGACTGGGTAGGGTGTTGAGGCATGGGTAGACTGGGTGGGGTGTTGAGGCATGGGTAGACTGGGTGGGGTGTTCATGCATGGGTAGACTGGGGGGTGTTCATGCATGGGTAGACTGGGTGGGGTGTTNATGCATGGGTAGACTGGGTGGGGTGTTGAGGCATTAGTAGACTGGGGGGTGTTCATGCATGGGTAGACTGGGTTGGGTGTTGAGGCATGGGTAGACTGGGTGGGGTGTTCAGGCATGGGTAAACTGGGTGGGATGTTCATGCATGGGTAGACTGGGTGGGGTGTTGAGGCATTAGTAGACTGGGGGGGTGTTCATGCATGGGTAGACTGGGTGGGGTGTTGAGGCATGGGTAGACTGGGTAAATGGATTATATTCTAAATTCTTATCAAAATCATCATAATGTTTTCAGGATGCATGCATTAAGGGATGAAAGTTTCCTAAGAACATCACTTCAAAGACAAGCGGCTAAACTACAGCACGCTGCTGTAGTATACGCGGTAAGATATCTATCGTACACGTTTCTTCAATAAATGTCTGTTTTCTTATACATTTTACTTTTTATTTTTAAATCTAATTGAACAGAGTAGTGGGCCTGCTGTCATCCCCCTTCAGGACCCTCATCGACCTGCAAAGACATTCAGAACCCTGGTAATGTATCTTACGTACTCCGCCTATCGGTTTAACCATTCACTGTTTTAACTAGATTCACTTTGTCGTGGGGCTTATTGAGGTTGTCGTAACAGATGACTTGCACTAACAGGTCACGTAACCCTAACCCTTAAAACGAGCATCTGTGTCAATATGAACGCCAGAAATGAAACGAACTTCAGCTCATAACAAGCGATCAGGAGAAATGGCATTTAATACTTAAGTAGAGTATAAAGATAAATTATATGGATTTAGGATTTGTATGGCAAATGCAATACGTCACTGCATCCTTAACCAGTTTTTAGATATTTTCAAATTTTGTTATACTGATCAAATTGGTTTCTGCGCATGCCCAATACTGCTCTACTTACTCAGTTTTTTTCTTATCGTTGCAGCCCGCAATAAGGCCTGGTCGAGTAGAAGGCTTTGGTAGAATACTTGAAGGAAAAAGAATAATGAGAGGTAAATGGATTGGAGCTTCGTTCCCCCCTCTTTTTCTTTCTTCCTTCCTTCCTTCCTTCCTTCCTTCTTGCCTTCTTGTCTTCTTGCCTTCTTGCCTTCTTGCCTTCTTGCCTTCCTTTCTTTTAGTGTATTTTAAGTCGGAGTAAAGGTTAAGAGTCTTATAACCAGCAAAGACAGAGTGTGTTTAAGGGTGAACTTTCTAGCTAAACACCAAAGAATGACCTGAATAAGATAACAATAAAATGTTTTGCTTGCGAACATCTTTTCTTGCGCTAAAAACCCAGCCAAAGGATTAGAAGGCCCTGAACGTGTTATAAGATGTTTTATCTCCTGTTGTTCTCTTAAACATCGTTATCATCGTGCAATATAAATAGTAATATAAATTTGTGGCTAACTTTAAAAACGAAAAGTATTCTGTGGTATAAAATACTATCTTTTTTGTTTGCGTTGTCTCTTCTACAGTACATATCTTTGTTTAAATCCACAGACATAGAAACGCCATTTACAGAAGAAAGACCAACGCCCGTCCCTGAAGACCTGGAGTCTGATGATATGCACCAGTGAGTAGACATCTTGATGTACTATAGGTGCACTTTATGACCAACCCTGAAACGACCTCTAGGCTGATCTAAGTCGGAGCACGGCTAACTCACAGATTTGAGAAAGGGAAACTAGTGAACCCGGAGAGAAACCATCGAATCAAGCGAGTGCACTACTGCTACATCAAACTTGATTTCCCACATATCATATCACTTATACACAGAGTCTGTGAGCCAATACAAACCCTATCATGTTATTTCAAACATCGATCACACTTCTTGGTTGAAGTATGTTTTAACCGATTAGTTCTACTTAAAAAAGTCTAATTCTGTGCAGCCTCGGTTTTATTTACGAGTCTGCTCCCTCGATGAGGTAATTCAGGTGCCTTGAAATGATCTCGAAAAGGTAGACTGTGAGAATGCAGACATTAAGAAATAGGAACAACTGTAGGAAGGAGAGGTTGACGTGAAGTTTCCAATTGCTTTTGCTTTGAGAGCTGTACTTTCAAAGGAAAACAATCGTGGTGACTTTTTATGAATACATTCCAGATAGACATTCCTTGTTGGGTTTCGGCTACGAATGTACATTCGATTTTAATCTAATCTCTTATTTGAACACAAAGGAACTCTGAAAATGAATACAGTGAAAGCATCAGCTTTACAGAGCGTCCTCCCAAAGACGATACCCAAAGCTGCCACGAGAGACAAGGGTCTGCTAGTCACGTGGTTCCTGCTCCTATGGCAACAGAAGCATGACGTCGGCTCCGGTAATGGTACAAGCTCATGTTATTTTGTTTGGTTTTACCTCATTTTGTAGATAAAAAATTCAACTAACTTTAAATAATTTGAAGTTATTTTAAGTTCTTGTACAGTATTCTCTTGGGCATTGTATTTACCTATTTAAGGTTTCAGTTATTTTTGGTGTGTCTGAAGACTCTAGAGCAACAAAAACATTTTCCCCCTGTAAATAATAAATGTATATAAAGAACCTAAAATCATGTAAATTAAATATAAGTTTGTCAGAAAAAATGTTGTTTTCCTGTTTGAGGTGAGCTCGATCAAGGTTACTAGCTATTCAAATACGAAGTCAATGATCTAGGCAGGATATCACCGATGATAAATGAAAGACAACTTACAGCTATGTACCTCAGGGCGTGGTCAACTAGCTATATTAAACAAGTGAAGCTTTGATAAAACTAAACTGTGGCTTGAGGATGCTCACAGGAGGTGAAACTGTAATTATTAAAGATTCTCAAGTCCATCAATAGTTATTGTTAGAGACCTTTAGCATCAGGTTTACTGCTAACTACTAACCACTAGGAAGAATCGAGCCCCGAAAAACGCCCGCAAACACGTAGCCTGCAAAGCAGGCGTTCTTGTGGGTTTGGGGAAAAACCAGGGTTTTGTGGGAACTTTGGAACGAGCGAGAATTGATCATGAAACCGAGCAAAAAAAAGCGAAGGAGGAGGGGGCGTTCCCCACGTTCCCTTTTTTTGCTAGGTCTCATTTTTCTCGCGGGCCCTTGGTCGAAACAAGAGCCCCAAAACCCCGATTCTTCCTCTCAAACCCACCAAAAGAACGCGTGTTCTGCAGGCTAGCAAACACGGTAAAACACTAAGCATCAATGAAATTCAATATGGCGGCTCTTCCAGCAACAACTTCGCTAGGGCGCCTTGTTAAATGTCGAAAATTTGACGGAAAATGCCTGACGTCGAACTGCAGTTTGAGGTTTGCGGGGTTAGCAAGAACGTCGTGCAAAAGTTGTCTATTTAATTAAAACATGTACATGGCGTATCTACCCATAATTCTTACGGGTCTCAGCTTTAAATTTGTAGTTGTCCAGCGTGACTAACTTAATTCAAATGAGCATAAACCTTTTTATTTCTACTTTCGCATAGTCCTGACACGTTTCCCCTCAGGGTTCAGCAGCTGACTATCAGTGACCATGACCGACGCTGTCAGGCGCACACGCATGTCAATAGCCTGTCTTATCTTGATCTGATTTCAAAGCCATCTCGCCTCGTAGGTTCCTGTTTATTGACCTTCTTAATAAAATCTCTCCAAAAAACAAACCCCGATTATAAAACTAACTGTCGTCTCGTAATCCCTAAATCTGAATATCTTCAGTAACACAATGCAACGCAGGTCTTTGATAGAATGTAATGCAAGGAGACTATTTGTTGTCTAGGGTTTAGATTGAAAGATAATGAAGTTCCAAATAGTTTTGATCAATTCTGTAAACATCGCGGTTTGTTTTTTCAATATTGTGCAACGCTAAACATCATATCTTAAGCGGCAATTAACCTTCTCGCTCAATCTTGGGTGCAACAGCGGCGCAGTAGGGCAAGTTCCACCTAATGTTTAATAACGCGAGGTTATTCTTTCTTGGGAGCTTCACAAAAACGTAGGACTGCTTTCTTTTGCAGCTGAAATTTGTCCCGCTAGGGAAGTCAAAAGTCATTGCCTAGGGTTGACAGCGCTGCACGTTTGAAAGAGGTTTATTTCATAAGAAGGAACTGAAATGCGCTTTGGTGGGTTTTCACCGATCACATGGCCACTGATGAAGGCTTTAAGATTTTAAACCTCTGGACCATGAAAGTGAAATCTTGCTAATATCCAAATCATTTGAATGTTGTAAGTTATTCGTTCGGGTTAGTGCGATAATTACCGTGGTTTGAAGTGTATCGATCGAATTGCGTGTAACAGTTAATTGGAGCTTAATTTGAAGGCAAATCTAGAGGCAAATCGGTTGATAGTTATTCATTAGGGATATTGATCATTGATTGGCTCAGCGGGGATGCTCGCCAGTTAATGTTGGATAGTAAGATCTGTTGTTGATGGACTGGTGTACGGTCTTTGTTCGCTCAGTTCAGTGTCTCCGCCATTCTCTCCTCGGGTACTACCTAATGTTTTGAAGAGCACGCGAGAATTGGAGTGAACAGTAATTACTGAAACACCTTCGACTCTCATCTAGAGCAGCTTCATTTCCGTACGTCGTTAACTCGGTCCGCCCTTGACTGATCCCACCATGGTGAAAAGGGATCAAGAATTCCACACAAATGATGAAGAAAAAGTTAAGGAACGAACAAGTGAATCTAAACAAAAAAGGAAACGTAAACGACGAAGAAAACCAAGACTAACTGGGTTGAGTAAAGAAAGACAAACGGCAAACGCGAGAGAAAGATGTCGAATGAGGAGCATAAGTGATGCTCTTCTGCATCTAAGGGGTCATCTTCCTTCCACTGTGGTACCCAAAAATCAGAAGTTATCCAAGATCCAAACACTACGGCTAGCTATCGGCTATATATCTGACTTATGGCAAGACGTGCAGAACAATGATGGACGAGTTCGTGTGCTTGATAATATATCTGAGATATCTGGACAAGAAGAGGTGAAAGAGGTGCCGACGCAGAAAACAACATCCAGTGGTCGCATAGACAGCGTGAAAGATTGTCCTGTGTCGGAATGTGTTTACTGCGATAGCTTTGAGTACTTCATAGAATAATCGTAAAGGTTTTTGTTTATTTATGATGTACGAGCTATACAGTGGATCATAGTCCGTTGTTTACGAGTTCATACTGAGTATGCTTTGTTCCTGTACAAGTCCACGGCTTTGAGACCCATCAAACTTGATTCTTCACAACCGAACATCTCAGCAAGTATCTCTACGGGATACAAGTTCTGATGTACCCTAGAGATTAAATCATCGTGTCAAGTGAATATATTTACTCAAAGTTACCAGGACCTGTTTAGGAATGTTTTTACTAGTCCACGGCCGGAGACC